CCGCGGTAGTGATAAGTGACAAATTATTTATTATCTATGGTGATAATACTATACAAGATACCGCGTGATTTTTGTAGTTGTGATAACTGATATTATGTTATTTAATTAATTTTGTTTCTGTTCACTGTTATTAAGTTATTTTATRTTTATTTATAATAATTAAATAATTATTTATAAATATTCATCGTTATTCATTGTGTATTATGGCCGAACCCAAGGTTAATTAAAAACGCAAAGGTGGCGCTGAAAAATAGCGGATAAAGAAGCAGATGATGCTAAAAAATGAAGCAAAAAACTGTTCAAATATTTTAAAAATGTTTTCCAAATCTAAGGTAAGAATAAATATTAAATTGTATGCATGTAGTTATAGTATTATCATATTTTGTATATTAGTACAGTTTTTCCTTCACATTTTAATATTGATGCAGTACACTTAACTCTTAATATGATAAAATTGCTTGACGCTTTGCATTGCTTTGCTTATGATTACAGGATATAGGTAATATTAAAAGTAGTAAAAGTAGTATGAATGATACTGATCAAGATATTGTATGTAGTACAGAAACAGAATTGACAGAAAATGTAAATTATAATGCAACTGAAATAAATTCTACAATGTGTACTAGTACTATTCTTGAATCAAATAGTATTCATAGCAATTTTAATTACTTTCAAAAACCAATTGCCACTAAGTTAGAGCAATTTTTTGAATTTCACCCAAAACAACCTGTTTGTTCATGAATTTAAATCTTCTAAAGCTTTTTATGGGAAAAATAACATTCAACGACGTTGGCTATCTTATGACACAACATCTAAATCATTGTATTGCAGTGTGTGTTTAGCATTTTCATCAGAAAAAAATGTATTCGTTGAAGGTTTAAATGTTTGTAGTCATGTTTACCAACGAATTCATGAACATAATACTAGTAAATGTCACACATTATGTTCTGAGTCTTTTTTAAATTATTCAAACAAAAAAACTATTGACTATAGATTATTTACTGACCAATTGTACAAGAAAAAAATTGAAGTTACAAAAAATATTAATATTGTAGAACGTGTAATTGATGTAATTAAATTAATTGGGAAAAGAGGGCTGAGCTTTAGAGGTCATTTAAATGAATCTTCAAGAAGTTTAAAAGATCCTGCTATTGATCATGGAAATTTTTTGGATATTCTATTACTTTTGAAAAAATATGATGTTGTTTTAAATTATCACATTGAAAAAATTACTGAAAATGCAATAATAAACCATGAACGTGGAAAAGGCAAAGGTAGAGGATCATCATTAACGTTTATTTCTAAAACTACCATTAACATGATTATTGATTAAATTAGCATTTTAATGAAGAAATCAATAGCAAATGATGTTAGAGAATCAGGAATGTTTTCGATACAACTAGATACAACTCAGGATATTTCTGTGCAAGATCAATGTTCTGTTGTAGTAAGGTATGTAAATTCAAAAGGTGTTCAAGAAAAGTTATTATCAGTTGTAACCATACAAAAATCAACTGGTAAAAGTTTTGCTGATATGTTGGCTAATATTCTTACTGAAAATGACTTGGATGTTAAGAAATGTGTTGGTAATGCTACGGATGGTGCGGCCAATATGCAAGGGCAATTTAATGGTTTTTCAGCTTGGCTTGAAAAATTGTCTCCCAATCAAGTCCACATTTKGTGTTATGCCCACATATTAAATTTAGTTGTCATTGAGTCTACAAAATCCCCACTTAATGCAGCAGCTTTATTTGTAACATTGAACGATGTAGCTATATTTTTTAAGGAATCATACAAACGAATGAATACTTGGGTCGACATAATAGATACAAATGATAAAAGAYGACTGCAAGCAATCGGTAATACACGATGGTGGTCCAAGGAGAAATCTCTAACACATATTTTTGGTGATGAAGGTTTATATTTGGAGGTTATTTTGGCTCTAAATACAATAGA